ACCGGTGTTTTAAACATAGGATGCTGAGGGACCAGTGTTTTAAACATAGGATGCTGAGGGACCAGTGTTTTAAAGATAGGATGCTGAGGGACCAGTGTTTTAAACATAGGATGCTGAGGGACCAGTGTTTTAAAGACAGGATGCTGAGGGACCAGGGTTTTAAACATAGGATGCTGAGGGACCAGTGTTTTAAAGACAGGATGCTGAGGGACCAGGGTTTTAAAGACAGGATGCTGAGGGACCCGGGTTTTAAACATAGGATGCTGAGGGACCAGTGTTTTAAAGACAGGATGCTGAGGGACCCGGGTTTTAAACATAGGATGCTGAGGGACCAGTGTTTTAAACATAGTGTAGAGGCGAAGATGTTGCCTGTAGATCGCCTCTTGGCTGCTAAGATTTTAAGGGTTTCCCAAACGCGTGTCTCCACAAACCACAGTCCAAATAGTGTATTAGAGGTTTCTTTATTGGCCCCTATGACCATTAATCCAAATAACATAATACATTCCACAGTAATTGACACGGTAAGAAACAGTACCTCCAAACCTAGCAGCACCTGTGCCCTCTAATTCTGCCCTTTTTATAGGAGAATGGGCTCAGGTCACATAACGCCCACAGCGGCACCCTGTGGCTAGGGAAAGGTACATTTTGGCTCCTACATATAGGATGCTGAGGGACCAGTGTTTTAAACATAGGATGCTGAGGGACCAGTGTTTTAAACATAGGATGCTGATGCCCCCTGTAAAGCTAGGGTACTTAACTTTTTATTTGAACTGTTTGTCCAAAGAGAAAAGGTCAAACGTAAAAGCAAAAAAAATGTGAACAAACCAGACCACAACATGCCATCTCTATCCTTACGTCAAACTGTCTTGGATTAAAACATTTACAAAATAACCCAGGATTGGTCCATTTAGGATCAGTTATAACTTCCTAAGTCTGTTAGACCCTGGTTTTGGGGTCTAAAAGGGTCTAGTTCGAATCACTGTTTCCGGCCATTTTGACTCGAGAGTAGCATTAAGGATTTAGGGGAAGATTCCTGTGAGTCACTATTTGAAGTTTTGGGCTGAGCTGATTGGCTGAAGAGGGTGGTCCACTCTCTTTCACTTTTCTGCCTGAAAAAAATGGGTATATACATGATTAAATTGGGTTAAAAATGAGATAGAATTGTTTTATGAGATGGATGTATAACGTACTTCTATGGTTTGTGGTTTGAAAGTTAGGTACCCGAGCTTTAATCCCTGAGGTTTAGACATGGTTTTGTTTGTGTCCCACTCGTCAGACCTCGCTCCTCTTTTGTCCCCTCTCCTTGTTGTCCCACACATCCACATCCCGCTCCTCACAAAGCCGCAGATTACCGACCGCGGCACAAATGTAATTGAAAGGAGGACGTTCTCGTTTGGATCTGAACCAAACGACAGTAATTCAGCCTAATCTGCGCAGCGTGGAGTTATTGTCACAGCACCGGGTCATTCATGGACGTGGATGATCGCAGCTCAGGGATTACGCCGCCATTTTACTCCTTAATCCCACTTCCAATCATTTCATCTCTGTAAATATGTGTGTGTTTGAAGAGCTGGGTGTAACTGGATCTGTATCAACTGCTTCTGACGAGGAAACAGGATTTAGGACGAGAAGTGTGTGAACGTTTACGACGAGAGGTGTCAGTGCCTCTCGCCCAGAAGGTAGTAGGCTCAATTCCCCTGGGCCTCGAAATTAGGGGTCTCTAACCTGTAGCTCGGGCACTACCAGCATCATTAATAATAATAATGCATTGGTTTTTTTCTGTACTTTTCAGGACTCTCAACGTCTCTTCACAACACGGTGGTGATAAACTACTACTGTAGCCACAGCTGCCCTGGGGCACACTGACAGAAGCGAGGCAACCAGTCTGTGCCATCAGCCCCTCCCACCACCACCGACTTTGCAGATTTTAGTATGAACGTAAAGTCATTGCCGTGAAAGTAAATATATAGAAAATCAAGAATGCATTTTTTTTCTCAAACATTTTTTGTTTTCATATTATTTTGATTATTTTGATGTGATATTGGATTATTTGCCAAGAAACACCAAACAACATCTCAATGGACCATGGCACAGTGGTTGAAAAACACAAGATCCATCTATCTTCTTTTTGCAGAGAGGATTCATGGTTTTACACTGGTCCAGACCAGAGCAGAGAGGATTCATGGTTTTACACTGGTCCAGACCAGAGCAGAGAGGATTCATGGTTTTACACTGGTCCAGACCAGAGCAGAGAGGATTCATGGTTTTACACTGGTCCAGACCAGAGCAGAGAGGATTCATGGTTTTACACTGGTCCAGACCAGAGCAGAGAGGATTCATGGTCCAAATCAAGTGGACCAGTAGAAAATCCACAGGAGGAATGGTGACTTTATGAAAAATGCTATTGAACCATTTTGCATTTAGAGCCTGCTGCACCTCTGCTGCTGTGACGGATTATTACTATTATTAGCTTTTTAGAGCGACCAATTTCATTTTATTGTATGTATTTATTTTGCTGCTACTGGAAACCTGACTTTCTCCTACAGAGATCAGTAAAGTATCTATCTATCCAAACAATTCTCCTCGTCACAAAAGCCTGGATTATCTTCTCAGCATCTCTCATAGTTTGTTTTAATTTTTCACACAAACTAAAGCCAACACAAAGTCTCCATCTCTGACATGGATCTCCGCTGCTCGGATCCGTCCGGGCCTCGCTCTCAATAAATGATGAGTGTATTTGGGACAGTGTCCAGACGTGACCGCAGGCGGCAGCTCCAAAACTCCAGCAACAACAACAACGGGACTCAAACGCAGAAGCTAATGATGCTAGCGATCAGCGGGGAACGCATCGCACGAGGAAGAGAACCAAGCGCCGCAGGACCATGACCCTTGTTCAAAACATGTGACAGGAAACCGGAGTCCTGCTGAATACTAATGCTTTGTTTTGTTCCAGTCCAGGATTCACAATCTACTGTTTGTGTATTTACTCGGGAAGCTTCGCACAATTATTAAAGAACATATTTATTTAAAACTAAAAGGATTATTTGACTCTCCTCTTCGCAGACGTGACTTGTGAGCCTATTGCAGCCACTCGTACATCTCCATTGTAGATATAAAGAAATACATAGTAAGTAAGTAATGTTTATTTATATAACGCCTTTCTCAGACCAAAGCGGTTTACAATTGTGGGCATTAGTCTGTCACTTCACACAGAGATGGGAGGGGCCAGTACAGGAGGCACAGATCTATTGTACATGTTTTTAGTGGTAGGGGAAACCGGAGCACCCGGAGGAAACCTACGCAGACACGGGGAGAACATGCAAACTCCACTCAGAAAGACCCTGTTACCCTGGGATTCGAACCCAGGACCTTCCGTGCCCATCTCTATTATGGACAGAGACCGATACATTTTTTCATTGGTTCTAACGTCTTTCTATCTGGTCAATATTCTGCCGTGGCGTGTTATAACCATAGCCTGTAAATGGATGAACTATGCTAACGTGCTCGCTTAATGAAACCCCACAGGAAAGAGCTCATGGACAAAGTTTTGCGCCGACTTGCAACTAAAGACTGTATGAACAATGCTAAAAGGCTAGCTAAAAGAAGCCCCATGGGAAAGTGCTCATGGATGAAGTTTGGCACCAACTCGCAACCATAGACATAGGCAGTACTCTAGCTCAGTAACTGTATCACACTCACCATTTTGGGATTACAAAATTGTGATTCAGCGCTTTTTGTGATCCAGGAGTTTACATCTTGATTTTTCCTTTTTTAAATATAAATATGTGCCATAAGGATTGACCAATCATACGCCTGTATAAGGAAATTGCCTCCAGCTAGCTTATGTTCAAATCTGCCTCTTAACTTAGAACTATACTGTACAAATGTGTTCTTCTTTGTAAACCCTAAGTTGCCAAATCATCCATTCATTATTTTTTCATCTAGTTTCTTCTTTTCCTGCAGCTCCGGTTTGCCCTGCGCTCTGAACACGGCTAATGAGGCTAATAAAGAGCTAGCTACAGGGCGTGCTGACTGAACCCATGGCCTACTTCAGTATCTGCCCTCGCGGGAACAAACGACCCTTTGTTTACCTGCTCTGCCTGTTTTAAAACACAAAATCTTAATTATTCCAACGTCTATTTGTACCGCTAACTCTCCCACTGGCACTTTTTATATTACGACCTTTTTTCACCGGGAGACGGCGCTAATGGAAGGGGCTAGCTTGGATTTTAAGCATTGTTTTTCATCAGTACAATTATGAACGTATTAAAGATGCATGGATTTAGCAGCATGTCCTGAAAACGTGCTTCAAATCTGTGTCTTGACTTTGTTGCTGATGTGTTTTGCATTTTCCCTGTTGTAAAATGGCTCCTTAAAGACGACGAGTAAATCCCGGCTGTTCAAGGTTAAGATTGATGTTTGTATTTACTGACTTAAAGGAGGTACGAAGACTATGTCAGGGTTCTCTTCAGGTGGCTAGCTGAACAAATGATGCTGCGTGTTTCACTTTTGAGTCAATATATTTAATACAAGCCCATTATTCATTATTGCAGGGACAGTGAATAGATCAGGGGTGTCCAAACATTTTAGCTAGAGGGCCACTTTAGTTCACCGGACCAGTCCAGGGGCCGACATCGCAGACCATCACTGCAGATGGAAATTAGCATCCTAAAAAAAAGCGTCAGATTTAGTCATAGATGAAAAATGCAGGGTAAGAAGAAGGCAGGTGTGGCAGGCAGACGTAAACAAAAATACTGGGTTTGGATATTTGCAGGTGTGAGGATCAAAAGGAGAGGGCAGTCCAGGAGCAGACCATGACCCCATTATCCCATCTACTGTCCCAAAAACTAATGTCCAATGTGTCGTGAGTGACTGTGTACTATTCGACTGTATATTTCTAATAAACCAAACAAACTTATTGACGGCACATTCTCAGTCAGTCATAACGTATGTCAGATAGCATTAGCCTATGAAGCAGACCCGCCATCACCGGAGCCTCCATGCCGCCCTCCCCCCAGCCTGCAGACTTTACCGCGCAGGTGGAGATATGGCCAAAGCACATTACGTGTGACCCGCGCGCAGAAGGTGAGATTATCCTCACCCTATTGTCTTACATCTGGACAGCAGCCCGGCCCCTAATCCAATCCAGAAGCAATCGATAGCCCAGCTCCAGTGGACACTTGTGAGCGCCCTTGGAACCCTAGAAGTGCTCCCGAACTGAGCAGGAAGTGGGGGGAAGGCTGGGGGAGGATGGGAGAGGATGGCGGAGGCAGGAGGGAGGCAGGGGTACTGATGGGAAGAATGATTTGGAAATTGGATTTAGTTACACTGTACCAAATGCATTCAGATTTTAAAGGAAATCGAGATTTTGTATCTTGTAGTGGAGCAGGTTAAAGGTGCAGACCTAGAGACGCTTTTAAATCCATCCACGCTGATAAATGGGGCTTCTGGCACAGACGTGTAAAGCCTAGCGTACATCGACAGAGTAACTGGAGACAACTAGTTGCAAGGCGGCTTTTGGAGAGTAGATGATGGAGATGATCAGTTGCTGAAATCGGTCGATGTGAGCGCTCTTACAACTGGAGATAAACAGTCGATCTCTGGATTCAGTCAGTTGCCCGTGTTCTACTTTTTGGCAACTAGTTGTCCTCAGATCCGGAGATATCACCCGATGTGTGCGCTCCAACGACATGTGTGTAGTGCGTGTTTTCTGACATAAACTACAGTTTATGTCAGAAAACACACTGTAGTTGAGGCCAGTTGCTGTCGTTGTACGTTATTCCCGAGACTGGTCTGATACTGGGAGTTGCCCGTTTTCGCCACATTGGTTATGTGTGCGGGGCAGCAACTCATAAGCGACGAATATAATCCGTTGCCAGTCCGATGTACGCGAGGCATAACTCCTAAAGATGCTGTCTCAGTCCTGAAAATTTGAGTTTTTTAACCATTACTTACAGTGCCGTGGAAAATGATCAATATCAACCATCCATCCATCCATTTTCTTCCCCTTAATCCATTTCTGGGTTGGGGGGGTGGCAGTCAGAGCTGCACCCAGTACACATAGTACCAGCCCCAATATCAACCAGAGTGGTGAAAATAATGTGGAGGGATTAGAAAAAAACATTTGTGCTTGTTTGATTTTCCATATAACACACTTTAATAAAATCTGCAGTTTCAAAAATGTTTCAGATTTTCATTGTACACTTTGACATTACCCACAAGAGTAGTTTTCTGCCTTTTTAAACAAAATGATTGCCCATAAATGAGTCCCAGTTGCAATGATGTCCTTTACAATGGAATGTCTGTGTTTTGATTTTATTTAATGAGATTTTAAGGTGTCCGGTAGAGCAGCAGAAACACATCCGTCTAAAAGACTTTTATTTCACAAACCGCTTGTGTAAGTGCCTGTTCTCGCTTCTGTGCTTCAGCAGAGACAGAGGACGTGGAATCCCAGGAAACAAAGAAAAATATCATGAAAGAAACAAATAAGTTCATAACAGAAGAAGTCCCTCCATGGTCCCAGTCCAGCTGTGACGACACCAAACCGACCGAGGACACTGCAGGTGAGTAAATGAAATGCAAGGGCCTTCATCTCCGCTTGCAGCTTTAATGTTCATGTTAAAGATGCAGTCAGTGACTTTTTCAAGATGCATTCTTTAAATATTGTGGGAAAATGTCCCTAAACCCTAAAAGTATCAAGTAACCATGTGTTTTCAAATAGTATTGGAATTGACCAGATATCTATAGTCTCCAAAAAACATATGTTGGACCCAGTGTGTGCGGGTCCCGGCTCAAAAGTGGCCCAAATGACGTGCGCTGACATGCTGCAATACCACCCCGGCCCATGGGGGTGGACCCGGAATAAGAATTAGCCAATGCTAACATATAGCATTGACAGACCTCTCAAAAATGTCTTTACAGGATGGACCAAAAGTTGGCTCTTGCCCCAAGGTCCGTTCCACATGTGTGTCAATGCTGAGGGGAGTGGATTTTTTTGGACTACTCTGGTTTAGTTGCTGTGATTTTTTGAAGTCACTCGTTCAAATGAATGGAGCTGCGCCGGCTGACGCATGCGCAGATGCGTTTCATTACAATTTTCTTGTGGGCGGGACCACTCGCGGCCATTTTGGATTGCTCCGGTAGAGCACAATTTTTGGCCCATTAGTTTGAACGGCGGAGATAGGCGTGACTCTGTCCATTAATATATACAGTCTATGGTTTAGATACGAGTGCTGTGTGTGTGTAGAGGTGATCTAAAGCCAAGGGCCGCTAGAAAAATCATGTTTCACATGTGTTTTCAATGGAAGACGTCGGTGCGCGCACAAAATTAGAAATCCATCCTAAATTAGGCGTAGCTTCACGTCTATACGTCCGTCATACGGCATATTGGTTTACATGTAAAAATGTTACACGCGTACAACGCGTACGTGCTGTAACTCCTCCTGTGTAAATTAGCAGTCAGTTTAGGAGGTTTATACAACAGTATATTTGTAAAAGCTGAGGCTGACTCAGGCTGAAGCGTCTCATTCTCATGTTGGGGCCTCAACATGCCCACGGTTTGTCCTGGCTCACCAGGAGCTTCAGGGTAAGTAGGACACATGGTGTGATGCTGTGGTTGTACATATTTAAATGTGTGTAAACTTGTCTCTTCTCCATCAGAGGACGCACAGAGTGGAACAGCCGGCCACACCAGCACCACGGTAATCCACATAGTCCTCTCAGAGCCTTCATGGTTCTCTGCTGAAAGTCCTAAAGTTTATCTCTGTGTGGCCTTTTCCAGCTCCAGAGACCAGCCACCGTCCACACCTCCTTCCCCCGCCCCCCTCACACTGAGAGAGGAGACCCCAGAGGAGGATGGTCTGCCCCACATGGTCCAGGCCCTGTCAGAGTCTGTCCTCAAAGACCTGGATGTGCTGCTCCCTGGCCAGACCACAGAGGAGGACCAGACCACAGAGGAAGACCAGGCCACAGAGGAAGACCAGACCACAGAGGAAGACCAGACCAGAGAGGAAGACCAGACCAGAGAGGAAGACCAGACCATTACTTTTGTCTAGTCCATATGTTGGGACCAGACTACAGACTCCAAGGATGAGGAGGACGAGGAGTCCATAACTGAAGTCCAGCCTATTACTTTAGTCCAGTCCATACGTTTAGACCAGACGACAGACACAGAGGATGAGGAGCCCAACTCTCCCCCTGAGCACCTCTCCATGGGGGAGACAATGACCTCGGTCCAGGTCCTCTCTGAGACCGACCTTGAGCCTGAGGGTGATGCAGGAAGGTCCAGAAGAAGCCTGAACTTGGAAAACTGTGGGTGAGTATGGAGCACATGATGAAGGACAGTAAGGTGATGGGGTCACAGCTCAATGATCCAGTGTGTGTTTGCAGACTCCTAAACGGTGCTTACTGGTGTTACCAGAACGCCGTGGTGCAGCTCCTGAGGACAGCAGGACCTCTCATGTCCACGCTCAGCGCTCAGGAGACTGTTTGGACTCACTGTGAGGAAGCAGAGCTGCTGAGGTGAGGAGCCGCTGTTTGAACTAAAGCTGGTATTGTATTTACAGCCAAGTGTGGCTGAAGATAGATGTGTTGGTAATGTGTCCTTTCCCCACAGGAACCTCCATGAGCTGGCAGAAGCCCCCTACACGTCGGCCTACAGGTCAGCTAAGGTCTGTTTTAGTTTACATTGAGTTCTGCAGGAATTTTTTCTGGGTAATATGAATTTATTCTGCAATACCACAGCGCCCCCTGTGCCCATGGGTGGGACAGCTATAAGCTAGAAATTGCTGGGTTGCAACCACGTGGCCTAAAGGGGGCGTGGCAAGGGGCCATATGACAGGAAGTATTTTTCTCCTATTAAATAGAATGGGGGATGCGGGAAAACGCACACACAGGAGCTTTTCGTGGCTTAATATCACACTTTTTGAGTGAAAACTATCTTCAATGCAGCCTACGCCTTGTAGAGTTTGAATGAGACCAGTTTTTTCAACAATGAGGAGGAGTAAAGCTGTTATAGCGACGACAGTGGAGCTCGTCACTCTGGGATCAACTGAAACACGTCTGAGAGGATAGTTCTGATCAATAATACAATAAATAAGGCACAAATGTTACTTTGACATTTGAGTCGAGAAATATGACCCTTTATTGTCATTACGGTGATTTGTTGCGCTGCAAACAACAAAATGTTGGGACTTATTCTCCGGGAGGGAGCTCCGTAGCGTTAAGCTAACAGCGGGGGCTGCAGTGAACGCATCCGTCCCGGGGGCACAGAGCTCGGATAAAACTTCAGACATTCCCCCGGTCTTCACAGTCGTGGGAATAACGATGAACAATGACTCTCATAAAACAATGAGTAGATTATCTGTGAGAGGACTTAAGACTGTACAGCCTGCCTTTAGCTTTGTTACACATGGTTTTGTTTTATAACTTTGTTATACATGTTGGTTTAGCATTAAAAATAACAGTTCTTTCTCTCTGTTTCCTCGGTTGCTACAACCGTATACCACACAAAATACTGCATAGTATTTATGAAAGTCAGGAAAGTAAAGACTCAGCTGTGTCTGCGGCCGCAGATGCTACGCTGGCTAATGCTAACGCATTTATTCCTTCCCTTGTTAGGCATTTTCCTAAAAATCAACACCCATTAGAGAAATACATTTTAGCAAAATAGAGACTCCATAAGTTCCCCACTCGATGTGAGCAGTTGCCACAACTGTACACGCCACAGAAAAAGAATTTTGACCCGGAATGAATCATTTTTACATTGTTCTTAATCGGGAGATTTACTTCCTGTCCCTCGGAGCACTTTTGCACCGCCGCATGACGTCGGGCACAACCCAGCAATACATAGTTCCCACATGACGTCACTACATACGGGGATTTGCCGACCCGGCGCCATTTGTGTTGGCATGCTGTGGGCAAAACAATAGAAAAAGAAGCTGAAACGTGTTAATGTCGTGATAAAGTTGAAAATGGTCGTCTCCTGCTGGGTCAATGGATGTTCAAATCGTGCCGGAGGTTCCGTTAAACTTGGATTTTACAGTATACCCATCATTAGACTTCATGAATGTGAGAAGACTAAGCTTTTGTCAGAACAACCACGGAGGTTATGGCTTGCGAAGATAAACAGGCAAGAAACTCCCTCAAAACACGCAAGAATATGCTCGGAGCACTTTGTGTCAGGTGCGTATCGTATCTTATAATGTGTTGACAGACGTAATTTACTCAGTACTAACTTGTGTATGCTGATATCTGGTAACTTGAGAGTTTCATTATTTAGCGTTAGATTACTTTATTATGAGGAGGATCGGTGTCGCGTCCGAGGCTCTCGAGGGCAACGTAAATGTATTAAATAGATAATAATAGTTCTATGATGGAGCTAAAACAATGTTCACAAACAGCATTGCTTCTGTAAAAAGATCTGTGTCATAAAATAAACTGCTCTTTACGCCTGGAAAAATCAGTTGCCCACCATTCACCAAAACATACGGTCAAAAACGCGGAAATAAACAATAACAGCAATCCAGAGTGTCCGTGTGGCATTAGCATTAATTAAATTAATTGTTAATATAATTAAAATAATTAAATGGAGCTCCAACTGGTATTAAATCTAAAGTTTTTGAGAAATGTTTGCATTGCTTGTTAATTTTTGCTGCATAATTTGATCAAATATGTAAAACATGTCCGTAGCACGTTAAACTGTGGTGCCATTGTATTAATATACAATTATTTGCTCAAAAGTTGCCCTTTTTTTCCAATTTGCGTTTGAATATCTACATTTATTCTCATTCTTCTGTTTAATGGAATGCACAAACACAGCAGCGTGCCATCAAAGATGGCGTCTCCGAGGAGGTCATGTGACATTCATTGGTCTGTGGGAACTATGTATACCCTATCCAGTTTATATTATGGATCCATGGTAAAAACACCTCTGTGCATGTGTTAGCTGCACTAGCCCCATTTATTTAACGAGTGTATTCATAAGTCCACAGCGACTAAACTAGACTGGTCCATAAAAAATTATTCAGCCACTTTTGGACCATCCTGTAAGATGCAAAGGAAGGTTTCTCACCCATCATCTGTACTTCTTAGCAAGTTTTCCCGACGTTTCGTCCTCAATCCAAAGGACTTCTTCAGAGAATGAATTCTCAGACCGCGTTGGAGATTAATAACCAACCTTACACCCATAGGTTATAAATCTCCAACCCGCGGTCTGAGAATTCATTCCCTGAAGAAGTCCTTTGGATTGAGGACGAAACGTGGGGAAAACTTGCTAAGAAGTACAGATGATGGGTGAGAAACCTTCCTTTGCTTTGACTAATCCCCGTACGACTGGGGGCTTACACAAACATATCCTGTAAGATGTTTTCAAGAGGAAAGCAGACGCCATACAAAAGCATTGGGTAATTCTCTTTATGGGTACTGTTATAGAATTATATACCCCATGAAGGAGAAAACTCAAAGGTCCTTTGTCTGATCAAAAGCGTAAGTTTATTGTTAACGCACAGTGCGGAGGGCCAGCACATACACTCCAAAAGCAGCATGTCCCAGCTCTGGGGCCAGAGCCCCGAGCTTCCTGTATACAAGACACACACCAAAGATAGTCACGCCCACAACGGAGCGGAGGGGGCCACCGGTGAGGAGGCGCACAGGAAGCGCCGGCGCTATCCCCTGTGGTGGCAGTGGCATGGGGTGTGAACAGACAGACAATGGTGGAAATGCAGGTCATACAGATGCAAGACGGAAAGACACAAGGGTGTGACAGACAGCAGGGACCTTCACAAAGCTCAGCATGGCGTCAGAAGGTCGTCTGCATTGATAAAAGGCCTTTGACGTCCGTGTATTTGCTGTGGCTGGTTTTAATGTAATTACTCCAAAAACTGTCACCACACTCCCCTCTTTTGATAATTCAAAACCATTTTTGCATTAATCAGTTAAATACCAGAGGCATCGTAATCACACCACCTTCAAGCTTGAAACACTTAAATTATTGCTGTCCAAAGTGGACAAGAAAAGACACATGCTTGTCAATAAAAGAAAGAGCACATTATAATAACACAATGGATCCGGACAGCGATAAGAGAAGGCAATATTAACATAATAAACACGGTCAGCACGGAAAGTAGTGTCAGTGTGGCCAGCATAACAGTCCAAGGGCCCATGCCGGTCTTAGCCGGGCTACGTTCGGTAGTCTTTTCCGCGGGAATACTCACGAGCAGTGCCGTCTCGCAGTCAGTGGCACCGCTCCCTATGAGCGTGTGTGGAGCGTTAGTGGTCATGGCGATGTTTGGTCTTGGAGCGGCAAGACTCTAATTGCGTTGAAGCCTTGGCCTCAGCACTCGGTTGGGCAGAGTGCTCGGGGTTTGGGGTGTGGAGACCATGGCTTGAGCACGCTCCAGATCGGCCAGGCCCAAAGCTCATTTGATGGGAGACCTCATGACAGCACGCTTCACCATGTGCCTCATCAGGAACTGTAGAGCAGCCCTCATCTCCACCTCCTCCGGACACACGGGAGACGAGACACCAGGGGGGCACTCCTCCAGCAGAGCTCAAATCTGCATTATGGCCAGAGGGAACAAGCTCTGGAGAAATCTTTGGAATGGGCAGCAGCTCTGCATACTTGCTGCAGCTGAGCAGAGCGCTCAGGGCCTTCATGGCTCCCAAGCCTTGGGATCCGGGGGCTGGGGAGTTGGGCAAAAGGGGGGTCGCCTCGGGAACGCTGGGATTCTCTGGGTGTTGTTGTTGGCCTGCTTCACCGACGGTGGCCGCACGCCGGCCGACTTCTTCATCGTAGGGAGCCGCGGATGGGCCTGGTCCGTCCGCGCCCTCGGTGTCCTCGTCTATGGCCCTCAGTGGCAGCACCGCACGACAGTGGTTGGCGTGGATCCAAGTTGTCCTCTCCGCGACCTTAACGGCAGTGTCCGTCACCAGGAGGGCGAGGAATGGGCCGAGCCAGCGCTTGGACCGCCAGTGCTTTCGTCTCGTTTCCTTCACCAGGACCCAGTCGCCTGCGCAGCCTGTGGCAGGGCGCTCCTGACCTGGGCAGAAATAGAGGACAAAAGTGCATTAATTTCCTTACAATAGGACAGCATGTCGTCATCACACAAAGAGGTGCTTGGCAGATCTCTGTTCGGGGGTCCCTCGCCCAAGTTGGGTGGTCTGGCACAGAGGATTTCGAATGGGACTCTCATGCGCATGTACATGAGGGCTAGCGGCAGAGCTTTGAGTGCCATTCTCTCGCTCGCACGCGCCTCCGGGCCAGGGGGCGTAACTGCAGTGTTTACGTATATCAATGCCCAGAAATTCACCCACTTCCTCAATGACTTTTGCTACAAAGTGACTGCCAGTGTCACTAGAGATTTTTTCTCGGGGCACAATTTTTGTGAGCAGAGCTTTCACCACCGCGTTGCTTGTGGCGTGTATGCCTGCAAATACTTCAGTCCATTTGGGCCAGAGATCCGCCAGAACCAGACAGTATTACTTACCTTGGCATGGTGTGAGTTCAACAAAGTCCCTTTGGACATG